AATATCCAAGCATGTGATGGAATTTTGCTCACAGGTGCGTGCTGGATATCCACAACATGCAGCTTCCAAAAAGGCTTGCTGGCATTATGGATCTCTGCTGAATAAAGAGTTGACACTGGCGGAGATCACCCAAAATGGTGCGAAACGTGATGAATGTTCGCGAAGATTAGGAACAAAAGGATTTAATTAAGCCCTGTCCCTGCAAGACGCATCCGGCAGGTAAGCACGACGATCCCGCGGGTGCTTTCCAGTCCCGTGCTGGTGACATTTTCGGAGTTTGACGCATTCTCGAAGTTGACGTCAAATTCCTGCCGGGGCCACACTATTGACATTTCATGTCTGAGGGGCAAGCCGCCAAGCCGCGCTGTTAGGAACTTGGTGAAGCTCGAAATCCTGCTCCCGCCAGATTCTCTTGTTTTTCAGGGTTGCGCATCGTCTTCCGTGACTGTCCGTGTGGCCTGCTTGGTGCACCGCATATATAGATCAATAGCCGAAGTCGAGTTCCACGTCTTGCTTGTCACTGCTACAGTTTCCATTCGTACGCAGCTGGATTCCCAAGAAGACTATTTCAATAATCTGAGGTATATGAAACCAATGACCGATGGCATTGTCCTCCTTTGGATATGGTTTTCCCAGTATTGGAGACTCAACCGTGAGCCATGAAGACTGAAGGAACTCCCACTGATTAGTGGGTGTGTGTGTGTGTGTGTTTCCATGTGTTTCCTTAAAACTGCGCCACAACCATCAGGCCGAACAAGCGTGAAAGGTCCGGCGACAGTTCAACGTGTCTGTAGCGGAAGCGTTGCTTCACGATCACCCAACTTGTCACAGAACTCTCAACAAAACTGAGGCCTCTGCCACCCGCACCCGTCGCTTTCAAAGTCACAGGTTACATCTTCCATGCTCCCCAATGCAGTGATGGAATCCAAACAGACCGTGTCACCCGCTGCGGCAAGCAGTCCGACAAACCGTACTGCAATGGTTTTGGCTGGAATGCTCACGCTGGCCACTTCCCAAGAAGCATCGCCATGCACACCCGCACCTCTGCTTTTCCACAGAAGGACCCAGCTTTGGTTTTCCGCTTGGTACTCCAGCTTCAGTCTGGAATCCTCGCCGGTCACCCGATAGGCAAACGAGAGGCCCGCTGTTCGCTCGATGGATGTTAAACGGGGAGTCGCCAAGACGTGTGAACTGTTAATAGAAACCGCTGTAGCTTGGAGATACCACCAACCCTCATGGCCCCAAGCGTCGATTCGGGACCACATGTTCGCTGCTGACCAATGGCAGAGATCGACCGCGTCGAAACCGCATGAAAACTCCGACAGCGTGGGGTCCAAGCAAAATTTCCAGCCAGAGCTCGTCAGGACTTCGTCCTTAGCTGTGCTTCCGCACACAGGTTTGACGACCTGCAACGCTGTAACATCACAGAACTGAAGACAAAAGAGCTGCCCAGTGGCGGAGTTCCATGTGACAAAACCTTGTGGCACGACTCCATCTGGACCATCGGGGCCGGAGTAGCTAATGTTGTTGACAACGAGAACATCTTGACCTACTTTGGCGTCGAAAGCGAGCACCCGGAGGGCTCTGCGATTGCCCGATCCGACAAGAAGTGCAATTCCGGCATTCGACGCAACCATCAATCTCGAAACCGCAAGACCTCAGAACGAGCTCTAAGAAGCAAAACCGTCCGTTCGGTGCCCAGCGCTGTCACTGCAAAGCGTGCGTGTACGCGTGCGTGTAAGCGTGCGTGTACGTGTGCGTGTAAGCGTGCGTGTAAGCATGCCGGTAAGCTTACGTGTTAGCGTGCGGGTAAGCATGCGTGTATAAGCGTGCATGTAAGCGTGCGTGTAAGCGTGCGTGCAAGCGTGCGAGCGAGCGTGCGAGCGTGCGAGCGTGCGTGCGTGCTTCCTGTGTGTACGGTTTTGGTACTGTAAGTTGTTGGAGTGCTATCGAAGTTAACTTGTCTAGAAGCCGTTGGCAGCGGACACAGTTGCCAAGAAGCCGGGGCTCTGGGAGCGTAACTGGGACTAGAGCCAAATAAGACGAACAATTAGTGTTTTTTGCTATGGCCGTGCGCGCGTGTCTGCGTGCTTTGGCACCAGCCCAAAAAAGTGTTCCCGCATGAGCTTAGCGATTTGGCTATACTTAAAGTGGGGTCCGAGGGCGGTGTGGTCCTCTGCAAATTCCTTAGGCACATGACTTCAATCCAATATGGAAATTGCATACCACGACGTCGTCCCTGACTAAGGATTCTATCCGTAAAATCGGAGCCGAAGACCACAGAGTGGGTGATTTCTGTACGGGGCTGTGTGAACACTTCTCTCATCATGCTGAGTTGGAGCTTATGCAGGGTTTCGCTCGGGAGTCGGGGTTGATTGGCCTTGTTCCAAACCTCCTGGTTGGTAATTCGGGAATAGTAGGACGCTTTAATGCCTACGATCCTACGCAAAAACCTGTAGTAGAAACCGTCTATTCTTTTGAGGAGCGGTGTGGTCAGTGTGATTGCGTCGAGGCCGCAGGTTAAGATTGGTACAAAAGAGCTTTGGAAGATCGGAAGCTTAATTTTTCGGCTGAGGGAACTGTTCCAGACCAGTCTTAGCTTTTTGTAGGCTTCCTCTGGACCACATCTCTGCTTAAAGGCTTCTTCGAAGGGGCGCTTCCAGGTTATGATAGAACCTAGATGTTTTACTTGCGGGGGGACGGGAACGGCGGTTGGGTCTGAGAAATAGAGTTTTGGTTCAGGCCTTTCAGGGTGTAGTTGAAACTCCGTCTTAACGGTATTAAAGTGCATTCCATATTCCGACGTGTGCTTTTCCAGGGCGGTCAGAATTGCTTGGAGCTGCGGTATGGTCCTTGCTAGTAACAGGGTATCATCAGCATATTCTAAATCACACACCGGATATTTAACCCTCTGGCCACGTGTTGGTAGGGACCCCCTGTGATTTTAGGGTGTTATCCATATCATGGAAGATGACCGATAGGACGATAACAAAGAGGTATGGGCTGAGCGGGCAGCCCTGACGAATACCCGAGGAAACCTTACCCGTGGCGGTTTGGTCATTGGGGCCGCGCGTGGTGAACTCCGGTTTATCATAAATGGACATGATAGCTATAGGAGCATTCTGTCTGATAATCCAAATCTATCGAGCGCCTCTATCATAGCGGTGTGGTCGATGGAGTCAAAGGCTTGCTTCCAATCTAGAAACAACATGTAAAGAGGGTTTCCCGTCATTTCGGACCACTCCATAGCCCTACATACCGCAAATAAAGGATGGCGGGTTCCGCGTTGTGATCTAAGCCCGTATTGACTTTGCCTAAGGTGTGGTTCAGCTTGCGCCGCTATGCGCGCCTGAAGCATAGCCGCGTAGAGTTTATATAGGGCATTAAGGAGGGATATGGGCCTGTAGTTCTCAGGGTCTGTGTCCGCGCCCTTACCTTTAATAATAGATACTACGATGGCTTGCGCCCAAGTGTCTGGGAATTCTCCCTCTAGCCAACAATGGTTAAATAGCGTGAGTAGTTCTTGCTCGCCTTCTCTGTCTAACAGTAGGATGAGTTCATTAACTACGCCATCCGGGCCTGGCGCTTTATGCTTCTTAAGTCTAGCCATAGCTGCGTGAAGGTCCTGTAGTGTAAAAGGGGGTTCTTTTGCGAACGTGGGCCTCAAGGCTGGCCTAGTTTTCCTAGGAGCGGCGGTGTGGTCAGGTATGTTCGGTTCTGCCCATTGCTTCTCTTCCAAGTGCTTCTTGAAGGCCTCGTGGGTTTGTGACCATGGAACGGGTTTATTGTCTACTATAAGGTGTGTCTTTTACCCTGGAACCATTTCTTTTGCCTCTTTACCACGTTCCACAGCGTTGAGTGCGTCACGTCTGGATCCGACGTGACTAAGCAAGTATTTATAACTTACTTGTAAGTCATATCTAACACATATGTAAGTAGTTATAAGAAAGCTAAAAGTTTAGAAGCGATAGGTGGTTTATACTAACGATGCTAATGTTCTTATTCAACATAAGCCGGTTGATGGGGTTTAGCCACGGTTTAGCCTTAAACAACATAAGGGATTAAGCTAAGAGGGCTAATCCAGATAAGACAGTTAAGCTAAACGGGCTAACCTGATTTAACATGCAGAAAAATCGAAAGCAGTTTCATTGTTTTACCATGCAATGTTTGGAAATCGAAAGTTTCACGAATCCATTTTGGCATCGGCCGGAAAGGCTTCAGGCTAAGAAACAACTTTTGCCTGCAAGGGTCGATATATGCAATGCATACAAAACGGGTTAAAGGCTGCATGGGTTTTGCATGATGGAATTTGCATGGCATGGCATGCTTGGACTTGTGTGGTTGCATGGGAGTGCATGCTTGGATTGCATGATTGCATGGGCATGCATGGCATGTTTGGACTTGCATGATTGCATGGATGCTTGCAAGAGATGCATGGTTGCATGCTTGTATACTTGTATGATTGCATGGCATGCATGCTTGGAATCATACGGTTGCATGGCGATGCATGCTTGGATTTGCATGGGTGCATGGCACGGCATGCTTGGACTAGCATGATTGCATGGATGCTTGGAGATGCATGGAAGCATGGTTGCATGCTTGGACTTGTCTGATTGCATGGGAGTGCATGCTTGGAGTTGCATGGTTTCATGGCATGGCTTGTCTTGACTTGTATGGTTGCATGGATGCTTGGAGTTGCATGGTTGGTGGCATGCATGGCACGGTTAATGCATGGATGCTTGGAGTTGCATGGTTGGTGGCATGCATGGCATGGCTAATGCATGGATGCTTCCAGGGAGTTGCATGGTTGGTGGCATGCATGGCATGGCTAATGCATGGATGCTTGGAGTTGCACGGCTGGTGGCATGCACAGCATGGCTGGATGTGCATGATTGTATCGTTTGTTGTGTTCCTGTTTATCTCGGCTTTTGCTGCCAAGCCTTTTGTTTGTCGTGCTGTCGCCCTCCCTGTTTCCCGTTTTTGCCTTTGGATCCAAAGATATGGCATTGACGGACGAGATGAAGGTTGAGATCGGTCGTATCCTTGACTCCGAGGAAGGTGTGAATGTTCGCATCCAGAAGTTGTTCAAGCTGTTCCTGGACAGCGGCTTGGCCCGGCACGAGACAGTGCCGCCGAGTGCCGTGCTGGTCCACCCCAGTAACAGGGGAGGGTCTATGATCAACGGCCACGATGTGGTCGCGAAGGGGGAGCTGCTGACCAAGCAGGTGTGAGATTGGACCTGTTGGAAGCCAGCAGTGTCGCCTTTACTTTGTCCAAACACCCAGACAAGCGAAATGCCCAGGTGGCTGCCAATCAGGCTCTTGCGAGCAGCAACCCTGACCTGCTTGCTCCGCCAAGTGGCGGAGAAAGGTATCTTTCTGTAGGCTCCAGTCACTCTACAGCCTACATGCGAGCACTGCTCGCAGGCATCATCCCGAGAGCACAGTCACGAAGCAGGAGGGGCCAGCGAAGACCTGCCTGATCCTAGAGGATCTCCTGGAGGAGGAGTTCCCCAGCTTGCCAATGATGATAGCCTCGGGTTTGAATTCCTCCAACCAGGTGCTTGTCAACCAAAGCGAGGTCGAAGTGCTCATGACCATGGGTCGCTATGTTTCCTTGCATGGCATGACGGTGCAGCAGGCAAAGATGAGATGCCTCGAGACCGAGCCTGCATGCAAGGATTATATCGATGTTTTGGCTCACTTCGCAGCCCGCTACGGTGGAGGCATTGGATTTCCTCTCCTTGAGTTTCTGGGTCATTTCTCAAAGGTGCATGGCGCCAGCTTGGTCCTTGGATCCGAATTTATCCGAGCCGTCACAAATTGTGATTTCAAAGTCGAAGGGAACTTGCTTCCCTGTCTGCGGATCGCACTTCTTGCGGCTCAAATCAGCAGCCCTGTGTCTGCTGATAAGGTTGCCAAGCTCTTGAGCAAAACAGATGTCCAAAAACTCCGGGCTCTCAAAGACAAGGGTCCGCTGGTGGAGGCGGGAACTCTCCTCAAGGGCTGTTGGGAGACGGTGCAAGCCGCGACGAATGTTCAAGAAAAGCGAAAGATGCAAGCCTATGGCCGATGCTCGGTCAGGGTGGCACTGTTTCTGTGCCAGAAGGAAAAACAAGGGACGGGAGGGAACGGAACACGAGTCCCTGACCACCATTTCCCAAGCTCTTGGCATGGAACTCTTGGGCATGACTGCACCCCCGGCCTCATCATCCACAGATTCGGCTGCCGTGGAAAACTTGTTGGATGCAAGCCGCACAGATGTGATTCTCAAGCAACACAAGCACCTCGAAGTCGGAGGAAGTTATGTCCACAAGAACCACGGCTCCCAAAGCTTCACCATGCTAGGTGTGCAGAATGACCAAGTCCAGTTTCAGCATGTTCCCTTGGTGGGGGCCCCCGTGATCGTGGAGGTGCCTGCCTCTGCTGAGTTGCTGAGTTGGCGAATTGGAAGAGGACGAAGAAAGTCCAAGCGACAGTGCTCGATGCTGAGATAGCCAAGCAGTACTCTGTGTCGGCTAGCACAATTCAAGCTGAGGCATTTGAGCTGGGGCAGGCTAGAGTTGTATCGAGAGTTTAGCGGCAAGCACGATGGCAAAGTCGGGATCAGCTTTGTCACCCCCCCTCCGGGCTTGGTGGTCACGGCCCCCATCCCCAAGAAGTCCCTTGTCCTTGTTGCTTTTGGGCAGCTGAGCATTGTGAAGGATCCTAGCAAAGTGAAGGACGGATGTTGGGTTGGCAAGTACTTGCTGCAGCCCTCCAGACCAGTGTCGGACTTCGAGAAATTGGACGAGAAGACATTGCTCGTGCCATATTGGTATGTGCGGACCACGAACGAGCTTGCTCAGGTCAATATGACCAAAGTTCAGCAGCAGCTCGGTACCTTGACGGTGCCGAGCTTCCTGAATAAACGGGATCTCGCAGTAGGGGAGCTGTTGTACACCGCTAGTGACTCATTGATCCAGAAGGAGCAAGCACCGGCTCCTGAATCCAGTAGTCCTGTAAAGCGGCTGCGAACGAAGGGTCCAGCCAACATCTAGGCTCCAAGCAGAGTTGCCACCCGATCTCAAGGGAAGGATTTTTGAGCAGCCATCCGATTTTGCAAGGAGGTAGAAACACACTCGAGATGTCACGACGACCGCTCTCTCGCACAGCCAGGGTTTAAAAACAGCTTGCATGCAGTCAGAACACAGCTGGAGATGTTTTGAATGATTCCGCCTCTTCATCAGCTTGAAGCTTTGTGTGATGCATCATGTGCATGCTCAAGGTGTTAAGTTGTGGCATCCTTGTTGCTTGTACTCGCCGGTAGCCACCGTGATGGAATCCATGGACGTTGAAGTGGCATCTGTTTTGCAGATCAAAACAAAGGACCATCTGCAGGGCCTGGTGGTACCTTCAGATTTGCTGATTGAGCATGAAGAGAAGAAGTATTTGAAGTTGAATGGTAGTCATTGGTGGTTGTGCAAGCTGCTTTGCCCAGAAGTTTACAAAACACAGAAGAATGTCAGCCTCGCCAACACAAGTGCCATGAAAGAGGTGTGTCAGGCTGTTCTTGCAGGCTTCCTGAAAAAGGAAGAGGGAGATGAAGGTGAAGAACTTTTCGACAAGAAGCCGGACGACAAGAAAAGCCTGAAAAGGAAACGTGATAGCTCGGGCCCCCGAGTTAAGAGCATCACGTTGCCGAACGAGGTGGTTGCAGAGTTTTACCTCGAGAACCACCAGAGTTCGTGCCCGGCAGTGTTGGCGGAGCCGGAGTCTCTCGAAGCAGTGCTCGGCTACTTGAAGGCTGGCTGTGAGGATTGCGCCAATGCCGCGACCAGAGCCTACCAGAAGACCGGCAAGTACCGCAAGAAGTGAAGACGTAGGTCGCGAGCTGGCGAAAGGCCACAAAACATGCACCGGCGCTTTTGGCAGACTCCTTGTCGTTGTTGCATGCATGTGTCTGGTTGCATGACAGGAATGCCCAGTTGTTTACTGCTACTAGTTAAATGTTTTCGCTTTGAGTTCTGGAATTGCATGGTTGTGCTTGCATGTTTGCTCCAAGCTTGCTGGTTGCAGCTGCATGATTGCATGTTCGGTGGCATGCCCTGGCCATGCATGCATGTTTGCTTGAAGATCGCTGCTTGCAGTTGCATGTTTGCATGTTCGGTGGCATGCTTTGACCGTGCATGGATGTTTGCTGCAAGCTTGCTGCTTTGGTTCAGGGTCTAGGGTCTAGGGTTCAGGGTTTGTAGGGTCTAGGGTCTAGGTTCGAGGGTTAATAAGGGTTGCGGGTTGGAGCATGCCGGTTGCAGTTGCATGACTGCATGTTCGGCGGCGGCATGCTTGGTTGCAGATGGCTTGAAACATGCATGCTGGCAACAACCTGCATGATTGCTTGCAGGCTTGCATGAACTTGCAAGGAGCATGCCTCTGATGCTTCTGATTGAAATTGCTTCTTGCATGCAACCATGCATGCTTGGTGGCATGTTTGCTTGGCATGCCTGCGAACCTGCATGGCATGTCTGTGTAGACCGCATGACAGACATGCAAGCATGACCTGTGTGCAATTTGCAAATCTGAGGAATCAGTGCCGCATCTTGCATGGACCAGTATGTCAATGCCTTTCCAGTGCTGAAGAAGGATTGGCACCCGGACGAGACCGACCCGGTCGAAATGTACATGTTCTTTATCAGCAACGGCTTCTGGGTGGCAGCCAACCAGGTGGTGGAAAACGACAGCCAACCCGGAGCCTGGCAAGATGTGGAGGTGCTGGCCAGTTTGGTGGACAAGGATGGGTTGCCACAAGGCACCTGCTACTGTCCTTGGCAGGGAGAGACCCTGACCTTGTGGAGCCAGGGCATGTGCCAGCTATCCGTGGAAGTTTTCCAGGTTTTCGGGCAGTCGGCATGGGCCAACGAGAGCTCTTACCTGGGGCAGATTGCCCGCCTCGAGAAGAAGAATGTGCAGCAGGAGCTGCAGATCCATGACCTGCTTCTGCAGGCACGTGGACGAGTTGCAAGTGCTGCATGCCCTTGCATGTTCTCTTGCACGCATGCATGTATGCGGTTGCTGTGTTGGAGGTGGCAGACCTCCAGGCACAGCTGCGAGCTGCAGAGGACCGGCAGTTGCAAGCGGCATGCATGGTTGGTTCATGTTGACAAGCCTGGCTGCATGGAGTTGTGTCAGCATGTTTGTGCTTGTTTGTTTGACAGGATGGCCGTGCAGGTCCGAGCGGGGCGACACCTGAAGCAGGGTCAGTGAATGCAGCGGCAGACCCCTTTCAGGCTTTGGGTGTCAACCGCCCTCCTCCGATCGGGCCACAGCCCAGTTTTGAGTCGCTGGGCATCACTCGCCCTCCGCCTCCGAGGCCTTAGAGAAGAGAGCATCCTCGGGAAGATGGCCGGAAAAAACGAGGGTTTTTATGTTGGGCGACAGAAGAGTAGCCTTTCTCGTGACTCAGTGGGTCTTCGCTTGCACCCAGCTTCACATGTGACAGCATCCACGGGCAGCTTGAAAGCCTCGTGCAGCAAGACGGTGCATGCCGGCATGCAAGAGCACATGCATGATGCAAGCAAGCAAAGCGGGCACAGGAGGCAAGCAGCAGGGACATGCATGGCAAGGCAGCAACATGCATTGCATGGTTGCTCATGAGCTACTAGAAGCTTTTCAGCTTTGCCTTCGCTCGCCATGGTATTTGGCACCACTGTGGGGCCTGGCACCACTGCAGTGCCAGTAATGGTTACTGGCACTGCTGGAACAGAAGGCGGGCCTCCTGTTCAAGTTGTTCCAGCAGAGACATAGAAGGACATGTGTGTGTGTGTGTGTGTGTGCAACTAAACAGACATGCATGTATGACAGGACTTCCGGATGTCTCCATGGACGAGTGGACTCGACTTCGAGAGGCCGTCAAAGCAGTCCATGTCAACCCGAAACCCATAATCCTATAACTCGTGGAGGCTGTATTCTTCGACTACTTCCCGGGTGGCATCAAAGACACGTGCGACTGCCTGTTTTTCTGGGGCCCCATGGACCAGAGTCGGGCGACTCTCAGCTGCATTTGTGTCCGTTATAGGGAAGGCTTCAAACTACCTTGGGAGGATCACCCTCGGAGAACTCCTGGTTGCCAGGAGTTTTCCGTGATTGGGTTGCATGTTGATTGCTTGCATGAACTGACTTCACTTGGCTTGCATGTGCCCACATACACCAATTGCTTGGAGCATGCATGACATGGTTGTGTGTTGCTCTGGAGCATGACTCTGCCAGATTTGGCTTGCACCATGGAGTTTCATTGCTTGTTTATACAATCAAGCAAAGGCAGCAGAGAATTGTCTCTCAGGCCCCGGGGTGTAGAATATTCGGTGGATTGAATGGTGAGGCTCGACTGGAACTAGCTGTGTAATTTGTTTGCTCTGTTTGCATGGTGCAGCTTTTCCTGCTTGCATGACACGACCACGAATGGCTTGCACGTGCAAGCAACATGTATTGTCTGTTCCATGCACGACACGACCAGGACTGGCTTGCATGTGCAGTCCATGTCTTGCTTTGTGTTTGCATGGCATGCTTCCGTGGTTTTGTTTTGCTTGCTTGGCATGACCAGCCTTGGCTTGCATATGCCTTGCAGCCTGTCTTGCTTGGAGCTTGCATGGCATGCTTGCTTGGGACTGTCCTCCTTGCAGCAGACGAGCAGGATTTGCTTGCATCTGCTTGGCATGTCCTGCTTGGAGCTTTCATGGCATGCTTGTTTGGTGTTGTCTTGCTTGCATGACATGAACAGCATGGCCCTGTATGTTTGTTGCATGTTTTCTCTGGGACCTTGCATGGCATGTTGGTTTGGCGCTGTTTTGCTTCCTTGACAACATCATCTTTGCATCGTCTGCACGTGCCTTGATTGTGCTTGACACTTGCATGGCATGCAAGTTTCGTCTGATTTGCAGGGCACGACATGAGCAGGATTGGCTTGCAGGTGCCTTGCAGGCCTTCTTTGCAGCTTGCACGGCATGCTTGTTCGTGAGGCATACCTGCTTGCATGGGATGGCCGTAAGTGGCTTGCACATTCCTTGCATGTCTCGTCTCTTGCTGGCATGACACGACTATAGGAGTGGCTTGCATGAGCCTGGCATGTGTTGCTTGCAGCCTGCATGGCATGCCTAGGTATTGTAATCCGGCTTGCCTGGCATGTGCTGTATTGGCTTGCATGTGATATGCAGGGTCTGCCTTGAGCATGTTGAGGTTGCATGGGAGGTGGATGTGCCCAGGCCTGGGCACAGTGATTGTCTCATGCAGCAGCAGCCATGCCTCCAATTCGTTTGTGTGTCGACCGGCCAGAGAATTCAGTATACTGAATTCTCTAAGGGCCGGCCGGCCGGAGAATTCAGTACACTGAATTCTCCTAGGCCGGAGAATTCAGTGTACTGAATTCTCTGGCCGGCCGGCCCTCAGAGAATTTAGTGTACTGAATTCTCTCCCCGGCCGGCCCTCAGAGAATTCAGTATACTGAATTCTCTCGTTTGTGTGCTGACTTCAAGAATCGCTGTTGCATCTCCTGTACATGTTGTTGGTTTTGGCTCCTGGACATGATCCAAGCAAGACAAACAAGAGCAGAAGCAGTCCAAAGAGTGCAATATCTGCAGCACCACAAGCACACTCAACAGAGTCGGGCTTCGAAACAACCAGAAATAGAAACAGTTTAGAATTCTTGTTCCTGCCATCAATTCGGCAATATTGCTGGATGTATCACAGCTGCCAACCCAGCGAGCATGCAAGCCTCTGCATCTAGTGGGGCTGCAAGTGCCGATGATGACACTGGCGGCTCCACCGAGATTCCAAACTTGCTGGATGCTGCTCTTCGCGAGTTGTGTTTCTTTTACTTGCAGGCACACCTGGAAGCCTCCTTTGGAGACCGCCGGACCTCAAATGCAAAACTGACACGAGCCAGGCGACAATGGGAACGTGCTGAGATGGAACGGCTCAAGGAGTATGTGAGACCACAGCTTGGCGACAACTGTGAGCAGTTTCTTCTAGACTTCCAATGTTTGGCACCTAGTGTCTTTTGAGCACA